TATATATATATATATATATATATATATGTATCTAGATGGCAGTTCTGGTAACTAACGGAAGGAAGTCTGCTTTGAGAAAACCAAAGTAAAAAAAATGAGGCAGCTGAAATAGCACTAAACAAATCTAATACATTTTAAAAGGTATTCAACATCTAATTCTCCCCTTCATACACACAAAAAATCAATTTGTTTATTTTGACAACAAATTAAACTAAGTTAGCTAAAATACATGAAGAGCAACAAAACAGGCAAGTTCCATCTTCTCCATTTCAAGTAAAGTGTGGTAAAACAAATTAAATATAATATTTTTCTCCAGCAGGGAGAAAAATGTTCTGGCACCTTAAATAAAACCTCATTAGCAATTACTATAAAAAATATGGTTAATTTTGTTGTGTGTATTTTACCATAATTTTTTTTTTTAAGTATGGTTAGGCTTCTATTAATACTATAGTGAAAGCCACTTTTGTTTCATCTGTTACAATACTACCTGGACATGTTCCCTAAAAGACAAAGGTGTTGTCTCAAATAAAATGCAGATTTGGAGACAAAAGGTGCAGGCAAGTAAAAGCGTGGGAGGCATTCAGGAATCAGAGTTCAGCTACTGACTTAGTCATGGATTCATTTTAGGTGGAAGACAAATAATCTAATACTACTTCAACTTTTGGGCCAAGGTGACTTGGGGGATGATACCATCTGGGCCTGAGAAACCTTGGTGATATTACATAAATCTATTTTTAACACCCCCCCCCTCAAAAAAAATCTATTTGAGGTTCTCGATTCTATGGGACAGTTCTGTACTCTACGTGACACCATCTGAAATTGTTTCTGGACTGACGAAGAACTTCTTCAGGCCAGCCGAGTGGCTCAATTGGTTAAGAGTTGGCTTAAGAGCGTGAGCTCTGAGCAACAGGGCCGCCAGTTCGATTCCCATATGGGCCAGTGATGCTGTGCCCAGCTGAGCTGTCGCTGAGCTGCCAACAGGTGGCAGGATGGCTCAGCTAGTGTAACAAGATTGCCTGTTCTATGATGGGCTACACCCACCCGCAACTAAGACTAAATTTGGCACCTTAAGCTGAGCTGCTGCCCGGATGTCTCAGTGGATAGGGGGTGCGCTCTTAATAACAAGGCTGCTGGGTTCAACTCCCGCATGGGATGGTGGCTATGCCCACCCGGAACTAAGATTGAACACAGCATCTTGAGCTTAGAGGCCATGAGCTGCCGATGGGCAGCCAGATGGCGACTAGACTTGNCCAGGTGAGGCAGTCACTCGCCGGCTATTGGACAGCTGCTCAGGCAGCTATTGGCAGCTCATGCTGGCTGCTGGCCGCTCATGGTAGCTTATGGGAGCCCACTGTAGCTCCACTGCAGCCTACACCATCGCCTGAGACTCATGGCAGCCCAGCTCCAGGTCGAGCTGTTGTTCACCATCTTAGCTGTAGAGGGCGCATCATCAGTGACCCTAATGTGGGATCTGAACCAGGGTCCTGCTGCTCAGAGCTGGCGTCCCAAGCCAACTCTTAACCAACGTGTCACTCGGCCAGCCCTGAAGTTAGTATTTTTATTACCAAAAACTTAATATTTTGAACACTAAGACACAGAAAGCACTCATAGAAGTGCTTTACATATATTAATTATCTTAATCCTCATCCCAACTCCATAGTGTAGGGACTATCATTATCCACATTTTACAGGTGAGGAAGTTGAGGTACAGAAATTACGTAACTTGCCCAAGGTCATACAGCTAGTAAGCTGCAGAGCCAGCATTCCCACCCAGGCTCTTAGTCACCACTTTTTAAAATAAACTGAAACTTTTTATTTATCAGTGACAACCAACCTACAGAAAGTTTTAATTCCTGGTACTATTAGAATTGGTGTATTACAAAAAGGCATTTTAGCTAATAAGTATGTCCCTAAATGTTAACAATGAGGAATAAGGACTAACAGATAGGGCAGCAGGGTGGGGTGGGTGTGCAGGAGGTTGGTGGACATGGGAGAGGAGAGGTACATATGAGGCAAGGGAATGCTATAAACAGGCTGAGCCCTGGTTACTGAGGAGAACTAGTGAGTTAACAGGTCTCACCATTTAAGAAGAAACCGGAAAATCCAACCTAACTCCTTGGACTTTCTCCAGTCAAGAGGCCCAAAATCATGACACACGTTACCAGCCACATCCAGCCATGAGTGAATACTTAAAATGTTTCTGTTCCAATAGTCATTTATTTTTATAACAGAGGATATTAGAATAAAGTGGGAGAATGGCAGGGCAGATGTTTGACACCATTATCATCTTTAGCTATTACATCCAATAAATCAGCATCTGATGTTATAATGCTCAATATAATCATCCGAAGTAGATGGATTAGGGTGGGCCAATATAAACTACCCATTAATTTCATTAATTTCCCCAGTTAGCTCAGAATCCATACAGGACAGTTGCATCAGGCTATGTCTTCATCCATTAAACTTAAAACTCATGTGACTCCGCTGGTTCTGATACCACATTCGACAACATTCTATTTCTTCCTATCTGCATCTTTCTATAGAGCAAAAATGTAATTCAAGCAATCTAGCCCAAGAATTCTTTTAGTGAATCCCACTAAATATAGCAGTCTTACAACTTCAGTTAAATGCTCTACCCATGAGAGATGAATGAATCTGCTTTTGTCTTGCTGAAAAAAATAAGCGTGAGACTAAACCAGGTCTTGGTCCTAGGCAGTGAATACCATCCTGTGACTCTCCGCAAGGACTCTTACCCTCTTCATGTTCTGCACGGTTTTCTTTCTTTTTTCATGTAAGAATTATATGTCAGGATAGTTACAAAAATTAAATGAGATAAAGGTAATTGTGTTTGCCAAACTTACTGGCACACTATAAATAAATGTACATTTTTTTTCCCCTACCCTCATCTCTGGATTTTATGAATGCAGATTAAAAAGTTAGAAATCAGAAAACTGTATGTTCATGCTAGATGAAAGTTTCATGCTAGATTAGAGTTTCTTTTATATACTCAATGAGATTACAACAGTCCAAAGAGTTTAAGGGGAAACAATTTTTCTCTAGTTTTCAGATTTGGAAAAACAGACCATTTAGTTCAAGAACATATTAGGGTGTGACAGAAGGAAAAGGGCAACTAGAAAAGATCTATGAGAGGCCAAAAGGAGTAAAAAACAAAATAATTCCTACAGATAAAAAGGCAGTGTAAATAGAAAAGCTATATTAATTATCCCAAGTCCAAAGACAGAAAGAAAAATTAGTCCAATACATTGTAAATCACATCAGAATGATATACTCTGCCATCACTATAATTTAAAATGTAGTACCAAAAGAACAAATGGTAAGTATTATAAGGAGCAGTAAAAATGTTTGGGCTGATTAATGTTTTGAAGTGATCTTCATGAGTAGGAAAATTGTCAGTAAAACCGATTTTGAGGTCACTTTCTTTTGTAATAGCACTGTTAGTGTGAAACTATCCAACTTTTGCAGAACCTCTCTCACAAGCCAAACTACAAATAAAAAATAAACAATATAAGAAAAGTTCTATTTCCTGCTAGTCTGCATTTTTTTCTGGCTGTGGCTGAGAAAGTTGAAATTTTGTGTTGCAATTACAGTTTTCCTCTTTTGGAACACACTTGTGGCATCGTTGACAGCCCACAGTGGCCTTAATCTTCCATGCAGGTTAGTATAAAGATGACACATGTGAAACCACATTCACCATCAGGATACAAAGAGGACTGCATACATACCTCGTTCAAATTTTAACCGCTGATAAAGCTGAAATTGATCCACAGGCACCAGACAAGCAATCTGAAAACAAAGACAATAGAAAGATGAGATTTCAGTCATCAGAGCCCTGAGTTACCAGCTTTTTATGATCTCTCCTTCTTGTTTCCCTTATTATATATTCTCTATACAATTTGTTTGCAAACTTCTTTTTGTCTGCACAGTTCACACAGTAACACAAGCACCAATCCCCAAATCATCCCCAATCCTCTGTCATGGCTAGGAATCACTCAAGGCACCAGTTACAGAACTCACTGATCATCTTCCATTCTTTGATCAGTGGCAAGTGAGACCAGACAATGACATTTTTTGGATTTCCCAAATTATTTGTGTGCATCTAGAAAACGTGCTCTTTTTCTCTCAAGGTTCATTTAAGAAATTTTTAAAAGCTTATACTTCGAGCTTTAGAACTCTTAAAAATTAAGGTCAGGTAGATAATGCCTCAGGCACTATAAAAACTTCATTTGTCACCTAGGGAACAGTACCTTCTGAGCAATACAAAAATCATTTCTTCTGACAAAAATCACTTCATGGGGCCTTTGGTTATCATGCATTGCCAAACTTGCCCTAGGAAAAAAGAAGTGCCGAAGAGATTTCTTGTGGCTAGATTCCCATTTCCAGTTCAGATTTAAATGTGAACCAAAGATTTACTAGTAAATAACCAAATGACATATCTAACCAAATGACATTTTAATCACTTTAAAATTGCATTTCAAAGTCAGATGCAGGCAAAACTAACTGCTTCTAAACTGGCATTCTAAAAATAATTCCATTGACGTCAACATGTAAGTTTATTCACCATGCTTAAAAGATTTATAACAGAAAATATCAAAGGATTTGATATTAGGTTTCTAGACATTCAGCAAGTTGATACAGGACACAGTCTTAGCCCTGGAAATTCTGACTCTAAAACATTACATGGTTTTTGGTGTGTGTGT